CGACACCAATAAGCTAGCGGCACGAACTTTTTTTAGGTTATTCATAGACCATTAGGGTCTACATGATGCTTATAGTATCGACTCAAAAGCGATGTGACACTTGGGAATGCTCCCTCGTCAGTTTTTCCTCACTTGGTGATTCAAGTGATGATTTATAGAACGATTTCAAAAGATACATGAAACATGAAATGAAAATTTATTTTTCGAAATGTCTTGTAATGAACTCTACAAACTATCAATTGATAAAAAGTTTTTTTAATAAAATATTTTCTTATCCACGGAGAAGGCGCATGATGATAATTTATTGTATAATATATATATAACGACGATCATTGCTATTATTCATATTAATACGAATCGAAGTTTTCAGAAACGCTAGATCGATAAGAGATTGTAAGAAATAGAATAGCTGCTGAGGGATTTATAGAAAGTCAAATCTCTAGTTTTCTGGCGCCTACAAATCAGAGTGGAAAATTTGCTCATACTACATGTAATGATAGAGCGAGCAATTTTTTATCAAATGAGATCTCCTCAAACTATCTATTGCATCTCTTGGTCAAACAACATCAAATTTATTGAAGACCTCCAGTAATTTTTTTGTCAACTCGATTTTCTTCCAATGATCATTGATGTGACTAAACTACCGTCATAAAAACTAGCATGTGATCAATTAAACGATGCATACTCTATTTCAATGGTCCCTCTGAATCAGTTTTTCAGATGAAGAGTTAATTACAATTTCATCGAAATTGGAAATATGTTCCATTTGTATACAAGAACTTTGCTCGTTAATTATTCTATATCCACATCTTGCGCATAGTATTCTTTAATAATGTATTTTCTTCTTTAAATATCAACAATTATTATGGGATTCAGATCGATACAGTATCAGGAACATTTATTAAAGATTATGCACAGTTGATATTGTTTTCAAAAATATAATAACAGAACCGATGTATTTTTTCCTTATTGAACAATTATTCGATGTTTTTAATGATATATCAACATCATTTGAATTTTTGAAATGTCTTTGCATGATCACCTCGATAAAAAATTTGTATTATTCGTTCTTATGCGATATTAAAGAAAAAAGAAAATTTAACATTGAGAATTGTATCTTTTTTCTCATTTCACAACTCTGTCACTCTCTCTCAATAAACTCGAACTAAATTGAAGAACATGATTGTATTTTATTAATTTGTTTTGATATCTTATTGACAACTGTTATGTGGAAGAAATAGAGGATGTGACAGTGAAAATATTTCTATCAGATTAAAGTTATATTGTTATAGTTTTTTGTTAGAGATGTGAGTGTGGATATGATTGACCAGAAGTCTTACACACACATCCCGAAACTTTTTTACAGAAAATTTAAAAATAGAAAAGAAAAATAAACATGAATGTCAATGGGAACGTTCTAGGGTGTGAGTGTGAGTAAGGATGTGGATGAGAATAACACTGGCACGACCATACCCATACCCAGATACCCACATCCACACCCACACCTTTGAAGTTCATAAACCCCTTATTAAACCATTTTTAAAGGGTGAATGGTCCCCTAAATAAACAGTTGAAAAGGATTCTTTATACGTTGTACCTTCATAAACCTTATAAACATTTTTTATTCTAGTTTTTTTTACAGTGTGGCCTCTATTATATACAGTCTTAGAGAAAATAAAGAAAAACTCGGGTCAACACCTAACAGCATTAAGCTTGGCTATGGTAACGAGTTAAAGGAGTTCAACGAAGTAAGGGAAAATATGGACACCATGATGGAGGCATATGTAATCGTGTGATAGCAATTCGATTAGCACGAAAAAGTAGCTGCAAATAGACAATGGATGTCTAAAAGATAGAATCCTCTATTATTACTTGTGTTCTGATCGTGTGGCTTTCAAATTTGAGGCTTATGATATTAAATTTAAGTGCTGGAGTTGTAATACGAGATAAATCGTTTCATTTCATTGCGCGATTTGTTGAGTAACGAATTCGAGTTATCCCATAGGAGAAGTCGACTTATCTCGTGAAAGAACTGAAGCTCCTGGCTAAAAAAATATCTCGATGACAATGAACACGTGAATTTTTTGGAAATTTTGTTTTAATTTAAAATTTTATTTCTTGCAGCTATTGACTTGTTTTTAAGACTAAATTAATATAGCACGATGCTTTATGATTCATCTAATCAATCTGGTTTCTTCATTACTGAATTCGTCGTGCCTCTATAATGGTGTCCATATTTTCCCTTAATTAGTTGGATTCCTTTAACTCGTTACCACACCTGGCCAAGTCGCTAACTAATATTACTTCTAATTGTGTCGTCATCTATTCGGAGTATCATATAAATTGAATGTAAAAACATATTCTCTTTCCTGAAGATAAATGTCTAATTTCTTCTGCCTTCTAAACTTTAAATTTAAGATAATTGTCACTGATTTATATGGTAACACATTGTGCATCAAGTTTTAACTGACTTAATAATGGGATTCTATCATCCAATAGAAAAGACAGTCATTGTTTACTGATATTTGCGTCGTTGTTCAAAGATTGTTCGTTCGTAGAGTACGAATTTGATATTTTCTTTTAAGAGAGTCACACTTGACTTGTTTCATTGTGTGAGTAGGAATGTATGTCAACTTTCAGTATTTTTTTTTAGTTAATACGAAAGATGGCTAGTTATGATAAAACAATTATATTTCGTGATCGAATTGATGCTGGTCGTCGATTAGCCACTCATAGTGAATTACAAAAAATCAAATCATTATCACCGGGTGAAAAGCGTTCATTTCTTGTTATCAGTTTACCACGTGGTGGTACAGTTGTCGGCGATGAAGTTGCTAAACTATTGGGAATTAGTCATGATTTAGTATTTCCAAGAAAAATTCCATGTCCAGGATATTCGGAAATTGCTATTGGTGCTGTATCCGAATTTGGTGATGTTTTTTGGAATGATGATGCCAAAAAATATGGTCTTATTAATCACCCACGTGTACAACAGAGTAAAAACAAACAAATTGTTGAAGCTCAACGACGCAAACAAGTTTATCGTGGGAACCGTCAACCAATGAATGACTTAAGTGGAAAAACGGTCATTTTGGTCGATGATGGATTAGCTACAGGTATTGTTTTAAATATACGAGAAACGATGTAGATTTTCGATAAACATTATGTTTTTTTTCTTCATTTTAACAGTACACTGTTTCAAAAAGTCTTAGATAGATCTGAGGTACATGAAATTTTTCACAAGCACATTGGAAAAAAGTCAGTATTGTGTTCGTTTTTTTATGTTGATTATAAACAGAATGATGCTTCGTGTATAGTAGATAATCTATAATGTAAGATGCATTTTGTTTCAAAGAAGCTCGTTAAAAGGTTTGAATTTCAATCCATTTTCAAAAGTTATCACGTCGGTTTATAAAAATGGTACTTTCCAAGATTTGGAAAAAATAGAAAATGCTTTAATTGGACAGTTGCAGTTAGTTGATAATTTCGACAATCATAGCTATGTGAATGCCGATAGGCTTTGCAGATTTTAACTGTTTAGTTTGTATAAATTAGGAAGCAAATCATAACATCTGCTTGTTTTCTTTTTTTCTATTTTTTCGAAAGAAGTTTCCTATGAAAAAAAATGAATACAATATGAGAGTTTTGTAGGCAACAAAACACAATGAACGACAGTATTATGAAGAAAAACTCTTGCATACATTGATAATGAAAGCTCAGATATTCTCGACTATTATCTGACGAAGATGATTGTTACAGCATTATCATATTTCCTCTCTCTCTTATAAATCCTTGTGTGGTTAGCATTCCAAGCAGTTATTTTCTATAAAGACTTTCAATGGCAATGATTTCGTTAAAAAAGATTATTTTGATTGTGTTTTAATAATCGGTTTTTTTTCTCTTGTTAGGCGCAACAATGAAATCAGCTATAAATACATGTAAGCATTTGAACGNAAAAAAAATATAATAAACATTATAAAGTGTATACTATTTTGTCTTATCCACACAAGATATATATCTTTAACTTATTCTAAAAAGTTTTTCAGAATGTTTACATACTTCATAGTCAAGGCATTAATTTCTCGTAAAAAATTCAGTTCTTTTTTTCATTGAGATACAATGTATGACAGTGCGTTGGTGTTTCTTAAGATGCAGGATATCCTTACTCTTGAAAGAAACTTGAGAGTGTCCAATTCTACTCCTATCACACTTATATGACTGAAATATTTCAATACTTTTTTTATGACAAAAAAAAAAACGAGTTTTCTTTTTCTCGAATTGAACGTTTACAAGCGGCTGATCTCAAAATCTTCGAGACTACACGTTGTAAAATGATGAAAACCAAATCATTCTAAGTAGTTCATCTAATATTTTTGAAATGTATATAAAATTATTCAGCAAGGTTTATTTTGAACTTTTTTTTTTCTTCTTTCTGTAAGCTTTGGAAAGAATCTATAGAGAAAATTTTTTCCTAAAGGAATTTAAGGAAATAAAAGTTATTATCATGTTTCAAAAGACAGAGATTCTCTAAAACTAAGAGGTCTATTTTTGTTTTTATTACCTAGAACCGATAAATGTAATTTTGTTTCCACTACATAGAATGATGAAGTAAACAATTCTCTACACAATGTGATGTTTTCGAGTACTCTGCGACGTTTTTTAGCTGAGATACAACAATTTTACGGAAGCCCCTAAAGTGTATTTTTGTTCCAATTTCCGAGAGAAAAAAAAAACATTTTTTCCAACTTTCAATAAAATCATTTTATCTCAGCTAAATAACGTTGTAGACAACTCGGTGATGTCTCATTTTGTTGACAATAGTTTATTCTCTCGTTCTGTTTCGTATTATATTTAAAAGCATTTTAGATGCTAAAAAACTATGATTTAAATATTTTAAAATTCGTATCTTTGTGAATCTAATAATAATTATTATTTTCTTATATTGTTGTTCGAAATCTTTTTCTCTACTCGAGTGACTCTATTGGGATTCTTTGTAATTCGGACACGATTGTTGAGAAAAATTTGAAAAGAAAACTTGTTGAATAATTTTGGTACTCACTGTAAATATATATATATCTATTTAATAGATGAAAGAGAATAAGTCAATATTCTACTACTAACAAATAATAATAATATTGTTGTTCTAAGTTTATGAGCAATGAAAATCTTGTCAATGTGTAATACCACAACAGTGGTTTATAGCTTCTTCTTTTGTCTTATACCATTGATTGTTTATCATTGTATTTAAAACTGTTGTTTTTGCTTTTCAGTAAGTAATAAATATTGTCTTCCTGTATATTTCCATCCGTGAAATAATGTATTGTATGATAGACTAACATGTTTTGCTACTTGAGTGGACATGAATACTACATTAACTAATTTATAATCTTCGACATAATGACATGCTTCTTTTGTCTTTGACATATAATGAATAAATTCATTAAAATCTCTATTTCTTTCTTTTTTTTTGCAAGATTTGAATGAAGTAAATAAGAAACTACTAAGGAAATGGCATGCCTATGATACCTGTTAAAGTGAATTTTCTTGTATATCAAGCTAATGGTTCATTTGATTTAATCTGTCTAATGAAACTATTATAAATCATAAAAATGTGGTCAAGTTGTTTTTTTTTATTGTTAATAATGTGCCTATTTACATTTAAGTATTTTCTGTATTAAATAAGTATATATAGGATAGTTTAAAAGAGCTTATCCATTTTCGAAATATTATGTTTGCTCTTCAATAATTTATTTTTTGTTCAATTAGTCTAAAACATATTAAACATAAAATCTATACTGAAATGATACTCTTAAAAGGATTGTGCTTTTTTTTAAAGATTTTTTTTTTTTTTCGTTTTGATTGAATTATTTAAGTATAATTCTAATTACTTTTACTATTATTCTATATTAGATTGGACTTTATTTCTCATTATGAAATTAAAAATTTATCAATAATTTAGACATATTTTTGTAGCTATCGTACAATTAATCATAAAATCTTTTTGCTGTTGAATTTTTACAAAAGATCAAAATCTAACGTACGTGAATTCGTTGTGAAATGAATTTTTTTCTTTGTCTTCACTTACAGTGGAATATGTATTCAAGATCCAAACGATTTTATTTAATAATGTTTTTTCAGATCCATCTATCGAAGAAGAAATTGGTCTACAAACTAAGTCTTATAAATGTATCAATTACATTTCATGAGAGTGATAATTTATTTTTGGCCAATCTGCATGTATACAATGCTAAGTTTCTACTATATAGACATTTAATCATATTAAACTACTGCTATGATGTTTTAATATACGCGACTAGAAAATAAAAGCCGATGCGACACTTTTCATGTCGACTGTTATAATACTATCAGCATGATTAATCAATAAACATAATCTGAAATGAATAAAATCCTATAATAGCTGTTATTTTTGTCAAACATGATCGAAAAAGAGTATTGAAGTATAGAGAAAAAAATTTATGCTTGATTCTGATCAAAGATCAATAACATCTCGTTATAATATATATGAATTACCTCGATATTGTACTTTTGAAGGGTAATGTGCAAGAATGATGAAGAAATATGTCGTCAAATAGATATAATAAAACAATTACTTTGTAATTAACAAGAGTAACTACATCATGTTTTACACTTTTATCACAGAGGAATTGCGTGAGCAACTCTTTTTTATATACATTATTTAAAAAGAGAAAACTATGGGTCTGGAATTATTTAATCAAGCAAACAAAACATGTCTTAATTTAGCTTTGTCTAATGGATACGTCAAAATTATTATAGAGAATTTCTTAATTATTTCGGGTATATTGTCAACGTGTGTCACACACATATTGTCCTAGATTCATTCTATATAAATCTATTAGAGAATAAAGTCAAAATACTTTATCTCATATTGCATGATTTAAATATCTAATAAGTATAATAAACTATTTGATATTTGTTATCGGAAAGATTTATAGTATAAAATTTTTTCTTTTTTCTTTATGAAATTCAATAAATCAATTTCTTCTAATCTTCAAAGTGCTACAGACGTAAGCAAAAAAAAACAAAGAAGCTATTATATAGTCATAGTCATTTGATATTTTGCTTATTTATCAACTAATAATGGAATTATATATGATTAGTTAAGTGAAATTTCACTTCATGAATTTGTCCGATTTCTATCGAAATATTGACAATTAAAAAACAAAAAATTCTCGAGATTTCAATGTCCTTTGTGATAGTTAAAATTAACTAATATTCTTTTTATGAATAATAATGTATATCTCATTTCTCTTATTTAATTAGAAAATTTAATGTCAATATATAAATAAAAAAATATCGTGATCTATTAAGTAAAACTTACACATCTTTGAAGATCTTATTCGTTTTTATAAGAATTATCAAACAATTTCACAGTAATATTTATTTTTGATTTATTCTATTAGTTATTATTATTCTCTTACTAACATTCTATTAACAAGTACTCAATGATTAAGTATTATTTAGTTAATTACTTATTAATTAATTGCTAACTATATGACAATGCCTATGAATTTCTCTTTTTGTGTTATTGACATACTTCATTTCTTTTTAAACATACAGTATGAAATACGCTGCATCTTATGATATATTCACTTCGAACAATGAATAAGATTGAAAACTTTACCAAAAAAGAAAACTAATGTCTTTTTTCTTCTGTAATGTAGTGTAAGCTAAGCAAATTTCCTCTCTTGTTTGTATTTCTATTAGCATACATTAATTCACAACTTATATTTATGCACGGTTTTATGGATAACACGTTAAACAAAAATTTCATTTTCAAATTATTTCATGTGTATTTCTCACCTGTATTGATGTACATAATAGAAAATATGTTGTTGTTCAGTCGCAAGGAAAAAGATCTGTAAAAATAAATCTAGAAGGAAAAAAAAATGTCCCAAAAAAAAAAAGAAAATATTGAAAAAAGCTATTAGTGTAATCCTTGAGAGATTAAAATGTGAAACACGATATAACTACTGTTGTGAGTTACAAAGAAATTCTTTTATTCTATCTATTTGGAGACACATTTCTCTTCATCATTCTTTTACTTAATCATCAAGAAATACAATAAGGAAATAGTTCATATATTAGAACAAGATATTATTGACATACGATCGTTGATCATAAATCTATGTCTCTCACAATCTGTAGCGCGAGAGGAGTGCTGTCAAGATGTCCGTTATGGTTAGAGATCTTCACGGAACTCTGAACTTCAACTTGTAATCGGAGTTGGTATAAATTATAAAAGTTCCGAAAACATGTTTTCCATTCACTTCCTATGTAACATAACTTGCTGTCTAAAATCTAACATATCTATTTAGTTTGCTCACAATTACATTCATAATCAGATTTTATTCGTCTTAAATGACATAATATTTTTGAACGTGTAAACTTTCGATAATTGACGAGAAGAAAAATTTTAGACGTAAAAAAAATTTGACTTAACAAATCTTTAGTTAAGATCTGCGCTGTTTCTATGGTAATACTTGAGAAGGAAAAGGAACAGGTGCAAATTTCTATCCTATATCCTTCAATACTTCTTTTAGATCGTATTTTATAAAAGTGATATCTGTTGTGAATATTGATGCTAAACACTCTATAACTTATTATTGTGAGTATGGATACTCTAGAAGTGTTAAATTTTACACTCGCATCGACACTAAATGTAACGAAATACTTCGATGAATTATTATTTACAGTTGCTAAACGAATAAAATGATATTTTATAAATTTTTGTTTTTACTTTATCTCTTGATGTGTCTATATGATTTCATTTATAATATTAGTATTATATCAAAAAAATAAAGAATATCTCTGACAGCTAGTTGGAATTTCCTAAAGATCTTTTCGACAATTTTCTACTTTGAAATATTTTTGTTTTTGTCCTAACTACATCTAACCTAATAGAACATCATTTGTTTTTTCTTTTAGTCTGTTTTTTTTGTGTCATTTTCTTTTTCTTATATCAATATTAGGATGCTTTGCATAACTACATATGTAGATTCCGTCTAAATAAAGAATGAATTCATAAAAACAGTCGTTAACAGTTTCCGTCTCAGAATTGATGTGAACTTCTATTAGCAATAATAGCCTTCTTGTAGCTATTATTATCAATGTTACATTCATTTTAAACAAAAGAAATATATAGTATATATCGTTAATTTATTGTAACATATATTGAGTGTATATATCTTGACCGACTTTAATGATAAAATGATAAATTTTCATGTATCCATTAACCAGATGTGAATGTGCATTGTAGAAAGAAAGACATTAATTTTGTTTTTCTAATATAGTTTTAAATGTCATTTGTTATTCATGGCCACTGTGTCATAAGGTACAACGCATTTTGTCATTTCTTTTTGCATCATATAATATGTTTAAAAATAAACAAAATATCCATATCAAAACACAAACAAAGAATAACAAAGAGGAGGTGAAAACCAGTTAACCTCTCGCTGTAGGACTCTTCAATTTAAAACACAATCAATGAAAAATTTTATATTGATGTATTGAACTTAGTTTCGCAAATCTTTGTTTTTTTGAATAATTCTCATAAATAATTTTCTTAGAACAGAAAATAAAATTCATAATCGAATTATACTCATATTTATTGTTTCAAGGTCTTTTTTTCTAAATATTTTAAAATGTGAACAAAAAAAGAAACGAATTGCGTGAATATTTATTTATATGTTGAATCTTGCAAAAATTATTTTTTAATTCTATTCAATATTAAAAGAGTTCTCAAAAAACAATATCTACGTTTAGTCTCTTTATTGAATTTGCAATCAAAATTAGTTTTTCTTTAAACTTTGATTTGATTTTGATGATTTTCCTGGTTGACTTTGATTTGATCCTGCAGGACACATACGAGCCATAAATTTCATATATTCTTCATATGATACAGTACCATCTTGATTAGTATCCATATTTGATATAACTTCATTAACTTCAGCATCTTTATATGAAATATTTGATTGACGAAGACATCCTTTCATTTCTTCAGCTGTAATAAAACCATTATCATTGCCGTCAAATTCCATAAATGCTTTGGTCATTTCGATAACTTGAGAAGGTTTTAATTTACGAAGAACAGAAGTACTGGCCATATTTTATTTGGTTTGTTTCTTTTTTCAGTTATATTGGCCGTAACGACAAATATTTTACTTCTGAATAACATCAATAGTATAGCTTTATATGTTATTGCTTGGGAAGTCAGTCAACCATAACAATACACGTGGTTGTCTCTATGTAGATAGAAAATGATAGAGGTATACATGCAAGATTAATTAGTTAACAAATCATCTTACCTGTATACATGAGAAGTAGGTGGTGACTTGACATATAATCTTAGTCATCAATTATTAAAGATTCGAATCAAGGACAATTTCCAAAGGTTATCAAAGCCAAAAATAAAAAACTGTTTGATAGACTAATCATTTTTCTAATTATATAGAAATTTTTTTTCCCATAGAATTCAGTCTTCCAAGTAGCTAGATTTTTTTTTTAATTCTTATTTTTTCGTTTGTTAATAATTTTTTAGTATTATTTATTCGTCGAATATAGTTTATGAAAGGTGAATTGATATTTATCAGTAGCGATTAGATATGTACCAGATCGAAACCACGAAAAAAAAATGATTGTTCCAACGGGAACTCAAGATTATAATTAAATATACTATTGTTTTAAACGAATTATCATATTAATCAGAACATAATTCAAGATAGATGACCCAAAAAAATATTAGTCGTCGACTAATCAAATCAAAACACGAGTACTGATGAATTATTTAGATGTGATACGAATAAATTCCGGAATAATTTTCTCTAGGCAGCGATCGAGGTTTGAAAAAATAAAACTATTGCGATTGAGACCAGGTCAGACTTACCGGGATCAAAAACCCAAAAAGCTTGGTGTCATGCATCTCTAATAACGAAAGATTCATTTTAGATGAGAATATTTTTTTTTTATTATCGGACACATTTTTTGTCGCTTTATTATATGCAACGAATGATTTATATGAATGACACCTTTTTATCAGAGGTCATTATTTGAGTTCTCTTTGAAAACTTTTAATATTCTATATAATTATTTATTCATGTTTAATTTTAGTATCACATACATTTGATTAGTTGTCAAAAACAACATCATATAACTTTTTTTGATTATTTATTCTTGTTTTGGTATAGATTTTAAAATGAAAGAAAAAATAATAATAGTTAACTAAATATAGATTTTAATATATTGAATAAAAATATTATTTTATTTTATCTTAAAAACACGGTTTTTCATTTTATTAGCTTATGATATATAAATATATATATTGACTATTCAAAAGATAGACATGACTGAATATATATATATATATGCAAGTAAGACAGTTAATTGAACAAAAGAGAAGATAATAACAAAAACAAAAATTTCGATATCAATTTTAAAAATTTTCAGATCGTAGATCTGTGAGAATTCAATGAACATTGAATTCGGCAAAGACAAAGGTATTATATAGTTTGTTGTCCATAATTAAAACATAAATCATTGAATTCAGATAATTAAAAGATATGATTTCCCTGGAGCACAATGATGTGCTCATTTGAGAGATATACTGAATAGTTGAGTTTCATTTCCTACATGCATCCACACTCTTATAACGCAATTGACAGATAAAATTTACAATAAAAAATAGTTGATTCTTGCATCTAAATTGCCATTGTTTTTATCTATAAAATGCAAAAAACTAATCTTTTGTGAAACACGATTAGAAATGAATGTTGAACTATGTAGCGAGAAAGTTGAATCCCCAACAGACCGTGAAAGAAATCTCATCGTCTGTCACTGTCTGCGATGATTGCGAGGTCTTTTGTCAAACATAATTGAACAATAATATTTAATTATATTGCAAAAAAAAACAATTCAAATCCATTTTGTTCCTTCCGACACAGGTCGCGATAGACATATAGTCTATGATCATAGATCGTAACAAACTGAAAGAATATGTTAGTCGATTCGACCCAAAAGAATTGTATTATTGACATCAATTTACAGATAGAATGAATCTATCGTTTTTTACGTATTAATTCCATTGGGATTACGCTAAAAGCTTTTTCAACATAGTATTCTTTGCAAATCTCAAGATATCCATTATTAAATAGAACTGGCATATTTGTCTTTTTTTTCCATTGTCGTTTTGTTTTTATTTAAAACATAAATTTAAAAATATTGATTTTTTTTTTTTTTTTTTATTCGAAGTATTCAATGATGTAAATGATATAATCATTGGAATCAATTCAATTAGTAACCAAACTATACATCGTAATCTCACTTTTAACTTGCTAAGATATTCGAATAGGTTATTCATAGATGAGAAGAAAAAAGACGACAACGAAAAAAAAAATGTTATATATTATTCGTCAGAACGTTTCTTTGAACCAAAATCATAGAAACGTTTTCGTGTACCAAAATCATAGAATCGTTGAATACGATCATATTCATCAGGTGAATCTCGTAAACTATCATCATTAGTATGAATTGATCGTGAACCAAAATCATAGAAGCGTTTGTTTGCTACTGCACGTTTCATACGCATATCGGCACTATGGTATTGTTGTTCCTAATTAAAAACAATAAGAAATCATTTAGAAAAAAAAAAAAAAAAAAAATTGTTTTTGNAATATAAAGTGAACATGAATTTTAACAAGATCTGCATAAAAGTAAAGTTGAATTCAAAGTAGCAATCAATAATGGAAAATAAGTTAATTAAAAAAAGAAAACTTTTTTCCGTATTTTTTCAAATATTTAAAAAAGGATGAATTTAGATATTTCAGATTTTGCATCTATGTTATAAACAAAATAAATTAATGAAATAAAATTTAAAAAAACAACATACTATAATATAAAAAAAAGAAGATATTATAAGTAGCTTGAACTATTTACAGAAGTGTTCACATTCTTCTTTACGATGAACTTATTAGGACACTTGTTATATGTTGTTCTCTAGGCAATATAATAATAGATATAATTGAATTAGAAGTTATACAAGGTCTATTCTATGCTCATTTCATGCAAGCATGTTGGTTTTGAATAGAATTTTTAGATGATATAAAAATGACGATGATCTATTTTAGTTGAGGTAGTTCTAGATATTTTGATATGTATTCGGCAGAATTAAGAACTTGAAAAGAAATTCTACGAACAACTTTTTTTTATATTATAGTATGTTGTTTTTTTAAATTTTATTTCATTAATTAATTTTGTTTATAACATAGATGCAAAATCTGAAATATCTAAATTCATCCTTTTTGAAATATTTGAAAAAATACGGAAGAAAGTTTTCTTTTTTTAATTAACTTATTTTCCATTATTGATTGCTACTTTGAATTCAACTTTACTTTTATGCAGATCTTGTTAAAATTCATGTTCACTTTATATTTATCGATAAACTCTTTAAACGAAAAGCAGATTTGTCGGTAAAAAAAAAAGTTTTCTTGTTTGTTAATAATTTTCAGCATTAATGTCAAAATTTGACAACTTCAACCAGACCTGGTCAATCTTCTTTGTGTGACTATCGGCTTAATTGCAACTTGCAACATTCTATGTAGTATTGTTCGTAGTATGAAACACATTGTTGTAATAGTTCAAACATTTGATAATGTCTTGTCTTCACAAATATTAGTGAATTTTGTCAATTTACTACTATGATAGTTTAATAAAAAAATTGAAAAATATTTCTAACACAGACTATGTCTTGTATTTGTATGCCGGATTCGATTTGCATTTTTTCGTTTGACAACGCTATATGATTCAAATTTGAATATTAATAAGACTATTAGTATTTTAATGTTTATGAACACAGAAGGAAGAATACACCTGCTTGTCGGCCAGCCGTAGCTCTAGACAGAAAGTCGACCTGACGCAGAGTTCTTACGCTCTTCATACACACTAATTAATCACGAGAACAGATGTATGTCACATTGTACTCAGCTTGCTATCGCACGAGTAAGCCGAGATAGTGACTTATCCATGAGCATTTTATGGCCAGTGATATGGAGATTTGAACATCGTACTTAGTGGATACTTGTCGAACAACGTAGCTGTTCATCCGTAGCAGTCCATGGGCAGAAAAACTTCTCAGAAAATATATAAAATAAAACTTCAAGGAACATATTATCATAATATTGAAAAAAAAATATATAAATCACTTGAGCTGATTAAAAAATATTCATGCTTATTTTTCCTAGGGGACTTTTGCGATATTCTGTAAAAATACAATTGTGCTCAAGTACTTAGCAGAGATGGTCACAGTGCACTTTTGTTTTGGTCCTCTTCTGCCCTCAGAGCATATAACCGACGTCGACTATAGAACAGATTAAGTAATCTAGCGACAAATTTTGATCAGAATTTTTCCCGTGTTCATACCTTTTTAAAATCATTTCAAAAGAGTATTATTTATGTATAATATCCGATTGTAATCGAATACAAATAGTATGATTTTAAATGAAAAAATAATTCTTTTTAGTGCAATATCTTACGGTATATTTTAGCAATGAGTACATGATACTAGCAGCATATGATTTCAAAAACATGATATGCATCTAATAAAAATAGGGATCCTTCGGGACTGAGTATATCATTTAATTGAGTAGATATATTTCATTATCATTAAAAAATAATTATGTAACTAAATACTTTTTAATGATAAGTGCTATTCGTTAATAAAAGCATTGTTTACATTTTGATTTTCTAGAGAATCTTCAATTGTATATGCAATAAAGACGTCATCAGTATTCATACAACTGTAAATGAAATAAAAGTCATAATACAATAGAAAGGTCAATATTAGTTGAAAGTGATTCTTTTACTAAGGCTAAAAATGTTTAAGTTCTTATATAATGATTTCATATCCTTAGGACATTTACAACAAAAACAAGCAGTTAAACTTTTTCCGAGAAGCAGTTTTTTTTACTCTTCGAACTTCAAATTTTAGTATGCTTATACTGATTTAAGTAAAATACAAAATTATTTTTAGTTTCAAACTTAATACAAAAAATGCATATATGAGAACAGGTAATACATTGATATTCGATTATTAGAGATGATGTTATATAAACTCTATACACCAAAAAAATATATTATATATGAATCTAATATTACAATTAATAGCATATTAGTTTGTAATCACCATATTATCAAGAGTAAATATTGAAGAATGATTTTCCCATTTTCAATATATAATGTTATTTTTTACAAAGTATATCGACAAGACAAATAAGTTTTAGTACAAAAATATATTTTTGTGTTTATTGAAATTGGTAGAGTGAAAAACATACTGTTTAAATATATTGAATATATAATAAATATAACCGAATTAAGACTCAGACAAAGTCTATTTCGTGCTCAATTCATACGAGCATGTAGTTTTGTGAGTAGAACTTTCAGATGATATAAGAATAATGATTATCTGTTTTAGTCTAGGTATCACCTATATTTTGAGAAGAGAAAAAAAAATATCAGACGAATTTCAGTTTTTTTTTTGGAAAAAAACATATCAGTGGATAATTCATGTTGCAATGAATCGAACAATATATTTTTTATCTTCAGATTTGATCAACTTCATAAAAAAACTAATGCAATTTTTTTCTATGTAAAACGATAAAACTAGAAGCATTTACTGCATAAATCGACGCAGTTAGGAACATACTAGAGTTTGAACAAATTTAGATCTATCTCTATTGAGTTCAATCAAATAATTTTAATATAACATTAAAAGTTCAAGTCAATATTGAAGTTTACAAATTTTGAAATAATACAAACTGCACATTTAGCTTTTGGAGCAAGAACAAATTTCAATTGCACTTAAATGTATTTAATAGTTCTAATCCTTGATGACTTTGTTAAAAAGAATATTGATCTATTTATTTTTGTTCGTTGTTTTTATTCACATGAGAATTCATTTCTCTGCAGTGACAGATTGCTTTATTCTAAATAAAGATATCATGACATTTTGATATAACACGTCACATAATTGTTCTTTTGGCATTTAATATTTCGAGAACCATGTATGTTAAAGCCATAAGAGACATCTACAAACATGGATCAATTGAACTTTTATATTTTTAACTTAAATCATAATGAAAATTTAACTTATTAAATAATTTAAAGAACCAAATTTAAGAAAATGATTGAACAATCGTTACACTATAGTATATATCATTGAAGTGATTGATAAAAATAATTTTTTCGTTATTTCAATTTTAGTTAAATAAATTTAAAGTAAAATTTAAAATCAATTATGTTCGAATTGTCTTTAAACACATGAAATGAGTTGAATAAAATGAAAGTGACATGTCCAATACCACTTAAGAAATTTAGTAATATTGATATTATGTATCTCTTATTGCAATTAACTAAATGTAATCGTCACGAAATAAAAGACTAATCACTATTATATAATCATCATTCACAATTTGATAGGTAAAATCAGTAAATAATCAATAATGTTTCTATTTTCATGAAACGTATTTTACACAATATTTAACATTCTATAAATACATGTAACTTTTTGTTTCTTTTGAACTAATTTTGCGTCCTGCAATTGTTTGCATAGACAACGGACTGCAATACTGTAAAACTACTCTAAATAATTCCATACAAATCTACATAGCATGACTTTTTTTTCAAACTATTCACACTAAAATAAAATGATTTTTTTTTTGGCATTTAAGGATAAACACTCTTTATATAATTATTGTTTTTATTGATATATATTTTATATAGAAGATATTTGATTAACAGTATCATGTAGATTAAGAATTTGCAAAATTTTGATTTTGTAAAATTTTTGATCTCATATTTTCATGTCTTAAATCAATCGTATTAATTCATAATTCTTTGATTTATCCCTCTTATCTTTCAATAGATGCCACGAGTAGAAGAAAAGAAAATACTTTGATTCTCATTTGTACTTAACAACATAATGGACACATAGCAACGTTGATACGAAAAGAAAAAAAAAAAGCTTCACAAAACAAGAGAGAAAATATTGTGTTGTGGTTACAAATTATTTTATTTTCATAGTTTTAAAAATGATGAACAGTCGAGCTAATGTTCGACCATATAATCCTCATGTTCTTGTTGGAAATTGGTATGAAGATCGAGTTATGGAAGAAGTATGAAAAAATTTATATTTATTATTCGTTTATTTATTTTAATATCACTTATATAATTAGGAAGTATTAAAAGATTTTCTTGATAAACGTTATTCGGGACAATTAGCATCACAAAAAATGACTGAAGTTGAACGTATGTCACAATCAGTTCCATTAAGCATATCAGCAAGTGATGGTTTACTTCGTTTTGGTCATCAAATCAGTCTTGTTAATACATTTACTTATTCAGCTCAACATACAGGAGAAAAATCACAATTAAGTTGTTGTTTAGCAACTGGTATTCCACATTTATCAGGTGCCAATGATGGTGCAACTGAAATAACAGCTACAGGAACAACATTAATGCGTCCAACAGTTCGTTCGACTTTCGTCATTCGAAAGTAAAAATAATTTTTTAAAATACAAGAAAAAATAAATAAATGAAAATTCTTTTTCTATATGATAGACCAAATCTTTCGGTTAATTCTGAACCAATTAAATATGGTGATGAAATACTTATATCGGATACAGATGGACAAGTATTTTCTTTTTCTTTTGATAGTATTAATTTTGTTGTTATTATGAAATCTTTAGTTGTTTTTAACTTGTGTTAAAAGTTCAACACGTGCAGGACGAACATGTGATGTAATTTTTACTAATAATCAAAATCGAAATAGTGTATGGATTGTTATGCATGCAAATATAAATTTAAGATTAGAATTTGATGGATCAGAAGTGAAGGTATTGATGATTTTAATTATATATAAAAATATATATTTGACTTTCTTTTTTTTAATCTATAGATTAATGACAAAATTGTTCTTGCTCATGCATCAACGAATAAATGTTTATCGGTTAATTCAGAACAATCCAATAGGTATATGAAAGAAAAGAAGACTGCATTTGAGTTATGAATAATTGTTTATTTATTTATTTTTTTCTTTTTAAAATTCTAGATCACCATATGGACGTGAATATGAACTTTTATGCGAATTATCTACGGGTAATTTTGCCGCATACAAAGCTCCTATTCTTTGGAAATTTCAAACTCAATCAGCATATTAACATGATTTTTTTTTCCTTTTGAATAGAGATCTTGTATGCGCGCGAGTATCTATGTGTGTGTGTGTGTGTGTGTGTGTTATCTTATTCTTCAAAAAACAAAAATAAACGCATTCTTTCTTATTTTAACAATACAAACAAATAAGAAATAAGTCATAAAAAAAAGGATAATTATCTAAGGATAAAATTCGTATTGACTAACATAAATCAATACTTTCATAATTGATATTGAATTTAAAATATTATTCGTATAAATTTTCATTTCAATATTTAATTCAATTTCTTGAAATGCATTTAATTCTCTGACAGCAATTAAATGAGCATTATGTGGTGGATAATTTTTTAATTGAAAATGATCAAGTGTTGTTGTAGATAATTTTGTATATGGATCAAATGCATCAATTAAACGTAAATCAAATTCAGCATATTGATTTGTTTGTAATTGACTATTACGTATGCGAAAGATTTCCATTGGTGTACGCATTTTTGCTTAAAAGAAAATAATTAAAATTTAATTTGTTTTTTTTTCCTTGGTTTTTACATACCAGGAAGTGAAATGAATGAATAAACATATTTAACTGGTTTTCGAATTGTACAGCGTAAATCTTTATCATTTTGATGTTGTTGACACCAACGTGCAGATAATTGACATCGACTGAAACAACACAAAAACAGGATAAGAGGAATTCAATTGATTTATGAAACAAAAAAAAATGATTAAAATCAATTTACTTATTTCCAATTTTATCATAACCTTCAGAACATTTAATAGGATAACAACGAAATCCACCAAGAAGATTAACACAATAATCATCAGAACGACAATGATGAGTGCCAACACTACATTCATCAATATCTTGACATTGACGACCTCGTTCAAGTGTAAAACCTGATGGACATATACATTTATATGAACCCGGTGTATTGACACAATGATATTGACATAAATTTGGAATCATTGAACATTCATCAAGGTCTAAACAATTAAATAGAATTTAAAAAAAAAACGACAACAAATAATAAATTATCTAACCTCGACATGTTCGTCTATCACCATTTAATCGATAACCTTCTTGACATAGACACTAAACAATAAAATAATTTTAATTAGTCTCAATCTTTTATTTTTTTTTCTCTTTTGAAAATAAAAATCTATTTACATAATATGATCCTTGAACATTAATACATTTTTGTTCACATGTATCTGATGATGTTTGACATTCATCAACATCTAATAGACGAAATTATTATTAACCATTTCTTTATTTTTGTGAATTTAATTACCTTCACAGAATGCACGTTCAGCTATCATTTTATATCCAGCAACACATTCGCACTAAAAATATGAATTAGTTTTATTTATTTTTTAAATAATTTTAATAAAC